GGCCCCGCACCTGCGCAGGGCTGAGCGCGGCGCTCTCCGCCTGCCGGGTGGCGGAGGGAGGCTGGCGCTGCCCGCCTGCGGGCGCATGAATCGGGAGGGAGCGTCCGAAGCGGAGCCCTGCTCTGATCCGGTCAGAAACCGGATCGGTGCCTCGGCTGTGGGCGTGCGAGACCCTGGTGCTGCCCCCGTCCCTCTCCGCCCTTCCCGCCTCGCAGGATCGGGGGGGTTTCTGTGACTCGCCCCCCAGTCCGTTACCTCGGCCCCCGCCTCCCCATGCGCCGCCTGACCGAGGGGGCACGTCCGCAGGGGCTGCGGGCCGAGGCTCGTCCCCCGCCTCGGAGGACGGGGGTCCTTAGGCTTTTCGGGGGTGCTGGGTGCTGAGAGGGGCCCGGGCTGGGGAGCGGCGGGCGGGAGGAAAGGCCGGGCTTCCTGCCCGGCTGCAGGCAGGTAGGATCCTGCAGGGAGTTTCACAGCTGTTGCTCCTGGCCCTTCCAAGTGGGCCACGGGGTGGGAGCTGGCAAGTTGCGAGGCGCTGAGGAATGGGGATGGTGCAATGCCCTAGCTCAGGAGGGAGATGAGTATCGGAAGCCTGGGTACCTGCGGATTGCATTTGGCATCTGGTGACTAACAGATGAAATGGCCCTTGCCGACCTCTTGAGATACGTAGCTCGCAGGATCTTTGTTACTTGGAAAACTACTGCTAGGAATGGTCAGGGACAAAACTGCTCAGTTGTATTTTATGGTAAAGGAACCCCATCCCCATAAATCACTTAACTTTCTGTGCTACCAAGGACCCTCCAACCTGATGGTCATGCACTTCAAATTAAGAACTGACCACTATTTGAAGGTAGGGGTTTTGCTTGAGTTAGACGGTTAAAAAAATGGTACAACCAATGAATTTCTCTGCCCAGAGGCGGTTATGTTCCGATTGCCACATTGGGATGTTTTGATTGCATTTGTTGGTGCTGTGCCCTGTTGAAGTTAGAAAGATTCCTGTTAACAGGTATAGCCAGTACCATAAAAACGGGGTATTTAGAACGCTGCTCTTAAGTTATAAGATCAAAGGGGAAAAATAAGATTCATTCTTCTTTATTGACCATTTAATACAGGCTTGACGAAATCATAAACTCTTCAGTAGGAGATTTTGGTAACATTAGCACCTCAGATTTTATGTTATCTGCATGAGGAAGTAAAGGTAACTTAACTCACACTTTTATTTTGCCAGTTTCTAGTATTGCTACTTGAAACAAGAGGAGGGTTTGATAATCCTTACAATGCAGGTCCCGAAGCCCAGCCTTTGGTTTTTCTCTGTTGGAATAAGCACATTCCTACCTTGCAGCTGCCGGATATTGTTGTTCTATGCTCATCAAGTCCTAAGAAAGGCCTTTTTGACCTACCTCTTGCAGCTAAATTACCACAGTGTCTCTAGCATACAATACTGTGGCTGCTTCTGTGTTTTTATCGTTGCCTCCAGCACTTTAAAGGACTTGAAATATTTGGTCTTTCTGTCCACCGTTTTCTTGCAGCTGTTGCAAAGCAGCCTGTAATTTATTTAAACAGTGCCACTGCAGTTTAGTGGGTGGCTGGCTGATTTTTGGAAGGTTTACTGAATACTCTCCCTGCCCACCCTCGATTCTAAAAATAAGTTGTGGAGTAGTTGTACTTTTAAAAACAGTCCCTGTATTGCAGTCCGTGGAGGCACTTACGGAAAGAAGTTCCTCCTGTATGTTGTAGTTACATCCTGAACTCTGGATGTTCAGCCCGTTGATGGGGAACATGGCATCTTTGTCACAACTGTACGTGAGCCACATAGACTCTGCAAGGAGAGGCTTAATTGTAATGCTAGTTTAACGCAAGGGGTTTTTGAAGTAGGTTGAGTTCCTGGGTTAGGTTTCAACTCCGTGGGGTAATTTTAAAATCATTCTCAAATAATATTCTCTCTCTACTCAAGTTTGCAAATAAGAAAAGACAATATGGACATAGTCTTTTCATATGACTTTTTTTTTTTTTGCTGTGCAACAGTAATGAAATTAATGTTCCTTTATTGAATATGCTGGGAAGGGACAAGACTAAAGAGAATCAGAAATTGTGTCCTTCACTTCAGAAACAAATCTGCCTTGGTGCTGGCAGTGAGCAAAGGACTTATTCCAGTAGTTCTAGGTTGCATTTTTACGACTGAAAAATCCAACCCTAATGAAAGCCAGCATTGGTATATGTGGACTTCTTACTGACCCTCATGTGAGTGATAACTCCCTCACTTAAGGAGACTAACTTATGAATGTATAAGTCGCTCGAGGGAGGTTTTCTTGATGTCTGTTTGATATTGCAGTGTCCCGAGCTAGCAGTAGCTATAAGGCAAGTAGTATCTTGAAAAGTGTTTTTTTGCATTGGTTTTGTTATACTGATTATTTTTTAATTTTATTTTACATGGTAAAATTTTACTGTAAAATTTGGACAAGTCTCTTCTGTAAAGCTGCAGTACCAGAGTTCAATGACTTCTACTGTTTGATACAGTGTCAGTTATCCAGTTTATTCCTATTTCCTGTCTTTTTTTTAAATATCATTAGTCTGATCTCTGATTTGCAAGAGGAGCTTGGGATATTGCCAAAAAGTTCTTAAAATTGCTACCTTGGGATACATCATCCACAGAAATCTGGCAGTGGGAGAGGCTGAGGAACAGCTAGAACAATACAGCTGTCATCTTCACCCACCTACCTCACATTTCTTTCTTTACCTCCTACTGTAAAACTTGAAGCTTAATGCTTGTTTGAGATTGTTAACAAACAAATGATGCAATTAAAATTTATGTGCAACTTTAAAACAAAAAAGACAGAAGAATTCAAGCAGCTTTGAAGAACTGATTCTGATCACTTACGCAGTTTAGGTTTGTTAGTCGAGCATTATTTTTTCTAGTACAAAGCTGTTTGAACACTGAAGCTTCAGAAATACACAGCAGTACACAGCAATATTTAACAATAACAATTAGGTTATTGGCAGAATTTTAGATTTGGGTTTAATTGAAGGCTGCTTCTGAAGATGATGTTTTAAAGTTATAGGTGTTCTGCTGGATGGGTTGTGTGGAACCATTTTTCATACTCCTTTGTAAGAGGGCATGAAATGGAGTTGTGTGTGTGTGGTTTTTCCCTCCACCCTGTTCCTTCCCTCAGGGAATTCACAGCTTTTCCTGCACCATAAATATTGGTATGGCATCCATTACTTCAGTTAATTAGTCATATAGAGGAATTGTTCTGACTAGTTGTGGATGTTGAAATCATGTATTACAGTACGCATCATTATCTCCCCTCGGCCCCTCTGCTTTTGAGATTCTAGTGTGACTGACCGTGCAGTATACATAGGAGTACAGTATACTCTGAACTCCACAGGTGAACTTCAGAGTTCAGGGCCTTGGAGAAAAGTAGCAGAAACAAGCAATTTCACCTCTCGTTTTCCTTGGTGCTTAGCTAGGACTCTGGGTACCTATCTGAAGAAGGGGTAGTAGAGGCTCAGGCAGCCCTCACGACTTGCTTGGGTAAAGGGTGCATTCCCCACTGGAATGTGGGCAGCTAACTTATTATTTTTGTAAGTACTGATCTTAAGTTTTTCCTATTTAGAGTGTGATTGTAGCACCTCTCTCTCAATTTCTGAAGTAATATTAACTTTCAGGTGGATAAAAATGTGTGAAAGTATATAAATTTAATATCCAGGCCCTGTGTGAGTTTCATCCACGTGCAGTGCACATGTGAGTCTCATCCGAATGCCTGGAAGGGTTCAGTCTTGATCTAAAACGTACACAGGAGCGTGAACCATCAAATATGTAAAGCTGTTGAGAGGATAACTTGGCTGCAGCAGTAAATGTTGTATTTCTTAGAAAGCAACCCCTCCTCTGCCAAAACCTGAGCAGGAATACTTGAGCTTATAGGTTTTATTACTTAATGGGTACAGTGTTGTTTGGCACTTTCAGGTGTTGTCTACTTCAGTGTAGGATTCTGCATCAAGCTCTCTCAATCCTTCTAATTTGAAAAATGAAGGTGGTTAGGCCATGGAAGGCATCTATCCTTGAAGTGCGTTATCTGGGGTCCTTGGTGCCTGTAGGGAACTAGATAGCCTGACTGTAGGAAACGTTCTTGTCTATTTCTGTTTGACTGGTAGATCTACAGTTGGTCTACCTTCTGTCTTAACACAGCCTTCACTATTCTCTGATCAGGATCTTGAGGCTTTGTAATGAAAACATCCTGGATTAGGTTACTCTGTGCTCCCTGATAGAGTAAACATGCATCCTGTCAGCTTGAATGGCAACCCATTGTGACAGATATGCCTAAATTAAGCAAGCTGAAGTTAGACCATTTAGTGCTGAAAAAGGTGCTTGTACACAGCTGTACC